ATTTCTCAAGAATAGCGCATTTGGCTAGGATTTGTGTGCGCTAACTATGGGACTCAAATTTGAATGTTGAGCTACATAAGCTTAGACAGAATGGGATGCTACAGGACTTTGTTTACGTTTTCTCATAACTGTCCTGCCTTTAAATATTGCTGACTTGCTGTCTTGTTCTGTAACAGCACAAGATAAAAAATGTCATTTTTGTTCAATGCTAACTGTACTGACCTGCATTGCGATGTCAATTGCAATGTAACTGCAAGCCCAGTGATTCTGTATAGTGATCTATATGCTACCTTTGTTTTACTTGCATTGTAGTTTTTGGAGACAGTTGCCACATCATTTTGTTAGTTAATTTTATATTTTTTTAATTCTCTTCTATTTCAGAAAGAAAACCTAATGTTTACAGACTTCATATACCCTGGTCACATGAAGACTCATTAATTGTAGCAAAGTAAGGAATTTACAATTATAACTTACTACTTGATACGTTTTTGAAGAATGTTTGCATCCTGTTGTGGTAATATTTCTGATCTGAGACAACTTCTCCAGTCTTAAGTGTTTGGTTTCTGCATCTTTTCCTCATTTACCTTTCTGCCCTTGTTGACAAAGTTGTTTTGACTTTTCCTGAAAATAAGAATACTGCTAATTGTTTGTTTGAGAAAATTAGTGAAAACTATTAAAGAGGAAGTCAGATTTGCTGGTCTGAAATTCTCAGCATAAAGTTTGACCCCCTCATGAGTGGAGAATGGAGGTTGCTCCTGGATGCTGGCTTCTTCCCGTAACCCAGGATTTGGATCATACAGCAGCCCTAAGTTGCTTCAGGAGCATAGTTCTGACAAAATTAAATTATACAGCTTGAAATAAGTGTCACTCATGAATCACAGTTGAACAATCTGGCTTTATTTTAGATGGTTGGAAAACTGTCTTCCTTGTTTATTTTAGAGGTCTTAAGGATACCTCCCTATTTCCCATTTTCTAACAACATATTTGCAGGAAAGTGAATTGTATTCATGAGAATCTGTCCTTCCCATTTTTGTCACTCAGAATATTTACATGTTCTGGGGGGCAGTGTGTACACTAATGCTAAACTTGTCTGTTTTCATTAGTACCATACCCTTTGGTAGTTCAGAGGACAGTGGGTTAAGAACGTTTTGTAGTTATTTTTCATGGGATTAAACAAGTTCGTTATACCATTTCGCTCACTGCTTGTGGTGACACTTGGTGTACTGCTTTATGTGTACTTGTTGAAGACTAAGGCATGTTTGGCTGGTTTTCATTATAAGGACAACAATTGCCAATTAAATTGCTCTTTCAGAGTTCCGTCTTCTACTGAGATTTCTGCAAAACTGCATATTGCTCAGCCTCAGAATGATAGCAGGGTTCCAGAGTTAAATATTTACTCTTCCTCAGACTGTCAGTATGAAGTGAGTAATACAGATTTACTTTATAGATAGTTTGCATTGCTGTGTAATTTTTGCACAATTCAGTCTTTTAAAACACGTAGCTAATTAATCAAAATAAACACTAAGCAAAGTCTGTCTGCCCTTTCTGTAAATGTAGTGCATGTTACAAGTATTTTGCAACAGCTGAAGTAATACTGAAAGTTGGGCTCTCATTTCTAAGAAAAACTTTAAAGCATTTGTTTTTAAAAAGTCAGTAGTAAACTGTTGTACATTTTAGTTATGGGGTTGCTGTATTATAATACTTTGGCTTCTTAAAAATACAAGTATTTTGTACTTACACTTACCATTGTATAAAACAATAAAATATTTTTTTTTTTAATCAAGGTAATACTGAAGACTTCACTTACACAGGTTCTTGGGCAAGTAAGAAAACTTCTAGTACTAGATTGTTTTTTATGTCAGTAGCATCTCTAGAAGTTTTCCCTTCCTCCCTTCCCCACTATGGCACTTCAATTTCCTTCTTCATGCCAAGAGGGACACTATCAATGATCACTTAAAATCTTGTCACTTGGCAAGGCATCCCATCCAGATAAATGTCAGGCCTCAGTTTTCAGAGGAGCAGAAAAGAACCCTAGCTCTACAGAGCTAACGTATATGTTGAGCATTTGGCTTTGTGGTTAGCTGAATATCTGTAAAGGGATGACACTGTAGGTCACTTTCACTTACTTGCCTGATGAGTCGGTAGCGTTAAAACTTCAAAATACGTTTGGCATCAACTAAAAGTTAGGGAAAAAAGTTTAAATAGAAGCCTATGCTCCTTTTCAACAAATTTTCTGTGGTTATCAGTGAAGAATATATTTCAGCATTGTTATCAGTAAAAAAAGACTGGCCATCTGCAGATTTCTGATTCTAAAAAGTAATTAATTTGCAAGCACCTAAGTGTAATGCTGGAATATTATTGGCATGTTTCTCTCTCTGAATGTGTGCATTTATATCAAGGATTTTTCATTTTGTTATCATTTTAGAAGATTTTACGTACTATTTGTATATTAATCATGACTTGGGACAATGGAAGCCAATTAAAACATCAATGAAACTCCTTCCAAAAATTCTTAGCCCCAAAGTATATATAACTATATGCAGGTTTTGCTTGGGAAGTGGCTTTTACTTTTAATTTTTTAATTTATTTTACAGAAACACCATTAACATGCTACTGTATTCTTTTAATAGTTGTCTTGACTGGGGAAAAAAGCATTCATTTATAATTTGGTTATTTATCAAAACATGTTTTATTAGCCGTTTATGAGAGATCTGAGTATTTTCCATATATAACATTAATTGCTAATGGTAGTTACCAAATACTTATGCGTCAAAATAAGAAACTGAATCTTTTAAGAAAGATTTTTCTAATCACATTATCATGTTGGCTTCATGATAATATTTTTGTGTGTGTTTTCTTAATTTTTTTATATATAAGTTAAAAGTTATCCTCACATACTTGTCTTTCAGATAATAAGATTCCATGCTGGTGCTCTTCCTGTCTATATTGTTTCTAATATCCTTCTTACTTACGGAGGACAATTGAGCACATTGTTATCAACAGGTAGTTTTCTAAATTTTTTTTTTTTCTGTCACAAGTTTTTTTAGAGAAATTACTTATCCAATTTACTCTTGAAAGAGTAGCTAGTTGTGAATTTTTTAGGCTAAGTATAATTGAACTTCTGTAAGTAATTGGATCTATGCTCTTCACTTTCGGGTTTTATTCGCTGGTAGTTCTCCAAGGTTGTGTTGTAGCAGAATTACTTCCTTATTATTTTAGTCTGCAGTGCCTTCTTTGCGAATGATTGGTGTTGTGCAATATTTTAGAATTAATAGAAGTCTACTTGAAAATACATGTAAAAGCGTAAAATGTATTGTTGATATGCACAAACCACTTTTTCTTGCATGAAGATGAGATTTGCAGACTAACGTTTAGACCTGTCTTCAGACAAAATGCATTTTTATTTGAATTCAGGTGGTGTTTGTAACAAACTCCGTAATCTCTCTAGAAGCTCTTGTGGTGTACTACCTAATATGAGTGACCCAGTGAATAAGGGCTTTGATGATGAAGTATGCTGACGTGCAGTACTGTTTTAAGACATGGTTATCTTGTCTTAAAGTAAACTTTCAAACCTTTGTCTGAATTTACTTTTTGTTGTGGATCTTCTTTGTTAAAGTTCATGACAAAATAATAACTATAGATGCTTTCTGTTCTTGATTCTAGGCCAGTGCTCAGACTTTTCCCTTGAACTAGTTAGGACAGCTAAACCCTACAAAGTAGAACCTCTTATAAGCATTATTGTGTTTCTGCAGGGGTGAGTTTGCACAACTTTCTTTATGTATTTAAAGCAGTTTCCAAAACAGAAGTTTCATTAAAACTACTGGTGGGGAGGAATATTATTTTATCTGTAGTTATTGTGGACACCTGACTGTGATTTTGTTTGAAAGGCTGTAGTAAGAGGAATAGTCGATAGATATCTTACTGTAACGGCAATTGGAAGTGATAAGTAATACTGCTTTGACAAGTAATACTGCTTTCATGTTTTTGGCAGGTTTAACTGGCTTAGAGAGATATGGGAATTGCTGTCACTACCAGAGGTGGATGCTGCTGTACTGAGTAGTCGGGATGTATGGTTCCCCCTCGTGTCCCTGATCCTATTTCTTTTTGGGACAGGCATTGCCTACTGGAGTGGAGTAGTTTTCTCTACATCTCTCAGGCTCTTCTCATCATTATGGTTAACTCTGATGAGGTAAAACATTATGCTATATAATTATGCTCTTTTAGATGACTTGGGACCCTGTCAATTTTTTCCATTTGCTTCTGTGTGAACGCTCAGGCAGATTGAATTCTGCAGTATAGTTCATATGTGATTTTGGACATCTGGGTTTGTCAGTATTAAGTACTAATGTGCCTCATATTCCTTATTCCACATCCCTTTCATCAGATCCTTCCACATCTCTAAAAGGAAACATAAATGGCTTTCTTCTTTCCTTCACCAGCTGTTATAAAGGTTTTCAGCTTGTTTCTGAGGAAAGCTTGTTGGGGAGAAGCAAGCAATTGAACTATTCCCTTTTCAGCAGCTCAAAAAATAAATGTATATATTTAGAAAAGGGACTATAAGCATTGCAATCCATTCCTCATTATTTATATTGAGTAAACTGCATGAAAGAATTCAAACAGATTTGTAAAACACAAACTTCTTGAAAGTTCATTTCATTCTGAGACTGATGAATTTTATAGATCGTGTCTAAGAACAGTGGAATGTTTTTGCTTGTACAGATGAGTGTTCAAATATGAAAGTGCGGACTTAAAAAAAGGAGGAGATAAAAAGATTTTGAAAGAGTAAATTAGTAAATTTGATAACGTGCTTAGTTCTTTTAATGGTTTGACTATTCTGACACTGATAACAGTCCTCAGCTAGATTTGAGCCAACTCCCTGTCTCCAGGAAGGTGGTTGAGATGCTCTTTACTCAGAAAATATCCTCTAAATGAACTCTTTTCATCACTAGCACTTCTGGTCTTATTCTATCAAATAATAGATGTGGTGTCAGCTATTTCTTCTCAGCCGTCTTGTTTATAAATTACAGTAGATACTTCAGTATTAGTTTTAAATGATAAAGTGATGAACTTCTAAGTTTTGAAACTACTCTTACTAAATTTTTAAGGGTTTTAGCTCAATTTGTACTCTTTTCATTAAAGCTTTTGATTTCCTGCAAACACTGAGAACGTCTTGGGCAGAGGCAGGAAAATAAGATTTTGTGTGCCTACCTGTAAGTCAGTTGGTTCATTTTGAAATTCCAGTGCCTTCCACAGTTTTTGATCTACTCCTGAATTTCTTGGGAAAAACAAAAACAAACCCAAATACAACCCACATTATTTTCTATAAATCTCTCTAGAGTAGGTAGTATTCACTTGACTTTTGGTCAGTGTTTTGAAATGGCCAGCAGCAAAGAAATTTGTCACTAGATGTCTGTGGAATTCTTTGTTCGGGACAGCTAGCCTTCTTTTTGTGGTTATTTTCAGTATTTGCAAGTATTTCAGTAGTTGCAAAGGCTTTTAAAATTTTATTTTCCAAATAATGCTTTTTCTATTTTCAATGTATATTTTAACACTGGAATATCCTGTGAATATCCAAGAAGTACAGACTTTTTCATAGTTCTATTGCACTTCCTCCCCACCGCATTCCCTCATTGTCACGCTATCTCAGCTCATCTTTGTCACTTCAGATTCATACTTGAATCTGTCGTATCAGCTGGAATCCAGGAACTTAAAATAAGCTCTTCTGTGTCTCTCAGACTATGAGCAAGCAGAAATTCCTGTTTGGGAAGAATGTTTGTCACAGAATCAATCTCTTGGAGACTTATTGTTGTATACTGCTGTACTATTATGGAACACTGCAGTGTACTAAGATTTGTAGTAGGAGTCACTTTCATGACGCAGCTGTGCAGTAATAAGATACTTGTTCTCTTGGGCTGAAGAGAAGAGCTTGGTGACTGATGCAGATCTACAGTTGGCATTATCTAGTGTTTTATGTTCACCGATGTATCTTTTATGTTCCCCAAATGAAGTAAAAATAATATGATAATATGATGTTACAGACACAACATGCTAGCAGGTGTAAGATTGTTTTGTCAGTTCATTTGATAAGAAAGTTTTCCTTGCAAAGTAGCTTATGTAGCAGTTGGCTGTATGTTAAAATTCTTCTAACTTTATTTTTCTAGTGTTTAATCAATATTCAGGTGCAATTTATTCTTTTCAGTCATTCACGAGAAAGACTTATTTTTTTGATCTTTGTAGATCTGATGTTATTACAAAAGTATAGTGGCAGTTTTGTTTCTTCTTTTAGACCTACTGTACTTCAAAAAGAGAAGTTGATTACACCCAGAAGACTCTGTGGGGTGTTATCCCTTGCTTTGGTTAGCTGGACCACTTGTGGTGCATTTGCTGTGTTCATTATTTATCTTCAATACTTATTTAAGGTACTGAAAGGCTAAACATTTTGAATTTATAATGGAATTCAAAATTTTTTATGCTTTGAATTAACCCCGTGTTAAAAGCAAAAATACAGATTACCATTTCTCATGCTTAAAAGAAATATTATTTGCACATTTGAAATAGGTCTTTTTTTGAATTTACGGGACACTCACAATCTTGTAATTGTTAGGATTATTTTTCTTTCTGACAATGCTTCTTCCAAGTCTCTGACATAGAGGACTTTTCCTATGTGTCCTGTTCATGGGTTTCTGTATAAAGTGAAGTAGAACTGAATTAGCAGGAGGACATGAGGAGTATGTATATCTTCCACTCCATATTCTCCGTCAAGCCCAGTGGAAGGGGAGAAAGCAGAGCAGCATAAGTTTTCTCTCTGTGCTTGGAAATCCTTCCTTAGGAGAGCACTTTGGATGCTGCTGATAAAAAAAGGCAGAGGGAGTTCTTGCACTGCAGTTCCATTGGGGCCCTAGGTTCATCTAGCTATGAAAAGGGACAAAAAATAATTAGCCCAAAGTTGATTTTTCTTCTATATTACAGCTTTTGTGTGAAGAAACATTACTAAAAAAGCAGAACCGTTTGTCTTACAGGTTATAAAACTGCATGTGAATGTAAGAGCAGAACAAAACATGCTCAGTGGGGTAAGTCTTTTTCCTGCTTCTGTTCAAAACTGTGACTAAAAATTGTTTGGCAAACTTACACATTATCAGTTGTTATCGTCTTGCCTTGATAGTATTATGTTGTGCTGTGATGACTGTGGTGGCTGTAGTTTACTTACTGTGTGCATGATGTGAAAGAAAAGCTAGGACCTGAGTAGCCTGTTCCATCACATATGACCATGGCATTCACCGTTCAAGATCACTGCAGTGTGAACTTGTCTGAAATATATTTAAGAAGCAAACTTATCTCTGAATACATACAGCACAATAGTTCTTGTCTAAATTTTGGTATTTGATTATTCATGTCTTATCTAAAAAAAAAATAAATTTAATCTCTAGGCAATAATATATGTAATTAAAAAATTACCAAAAAATTACAAATTAGATTATTAATTACAAATTTGTAATTTTAATTAAAAAATTAAAATAATCTGGTAAATATTTTTTCCAGTTAGGTAATTGATGGAGTTTAGGGGTTTTTTTAATCGGGATATGATAAATACAATTTCTTAGGTGGATACAGACTGAGACTGCAGTAAATTGGGAGCTGTTTAATAAGGAGTGAAGAAGCACTGGGTTTTGTGCTTAGTGAACTTCATTTCTTTTTCCAGTTACTTTAAGGTATAGGGTCAAAAATGTAAGCAGGTGTGGATACAGGCATATAATAACTACCTGGTCTTTTTTGCAAACATAGAACATAGTAAAAAATGCAGTCTTCCAGAAAAAAGTTGTTGACAGTTTTCTTTGGATTTCTTTGAGGGTTTTTTGTGTATTTAGTTTTAAATCCTCTCCTTCTCTTCTTTCATCTCCATATAATTTTGTTTTGTTTCATTTTGTTTGGGTTTTTTTCTGTCATTGGAAGCTACCATCTGCCAACTTATTAGTTGATCTTAGTTATTTATTCCTACAGCTAATATTTTACTCCTAGTTGCATTACCTCCTGTATCTTTTTCCATGAATGATCATCTGTGATTTTTCACCTGCACGCTTTATTGCTCCTTTTATTTTCTTCTTCCTCCTTCCAGGAAATCCATTTTTTATCACTGCATTGGTGTCAGGGCATCTCCACTTGCCATTCTTTTCTTCCAAAGACACATAAACTACTAGTGTGTGAGAAATTTCTGGTTAAATCTAGATGCTTTAAAATTGAACAATAGCACTTTGCTTTTGATGGTTTTTTGAGGGATAAATTGCAAATTTTCTTCTTAAATCAGAGCTGGTATGATATTTTCATGACAGTTTTTCCCTCTTCCTTCCCCAGCATGGGTTCTTACAAGCCTGTGCGTGTTTTTGTGACTTCTGTCTTATTTTCAGGATTCAGGCCACTCAAAAGAAACTTCACAGAACTCCAGTATACACACAGTCAAAAGACAGAGTTCCATGGACAGTATTTCAGAAGCAACACAATCTCCTCCCAACAGTACAACAGTTGATGAAGCCATTAACAGTCTTAGGATGCATGTTACAATTCTCAATTTATTCACGTGGATTGTGCTGCTCAACTTGCCATCTTTAATTTATTGGTTAAAAAATCTCAGGTAACTTCTTAAATTGCCAGTAAAGTGGAAGAATATGAACCTCTGAAGATTATAAAAATTGCAAATGTTTGACTCTACACTATTAGCTACCTTTATAGTATCAAAGACTTCTGTTAATTATAATTGTTTTTTCTATGCAATCTGGTTTATGTTATGGTATAAGTAGGTGTTAAGTGAGTCAGCGATATGTTGAAGAAAGTAATGATTCAGAAAGGATTTAAAGCCAGGCTGTGATGCCATATACATTTCATGTGTGTTTACTGTTATCAGCACATGCTTGTTGCCAAGTTGGATTTTATTTCGTAGCCTAGTTTAGAAGTAACATGATTTTTAAACCTTTTCTTTGCAGGTACAATGTTAGACTTGATCCTGATCCATGTAGATCAACAGCTATTGTCATTGTATGCATTTTAGAAATCCTCATGAATTCAAGTACTTCTGAAGTGAAATCAAGGTACTGTAGCCTAATTGCCATTTTTTGTTTTCCTCTTCTTTCTTACTACTTCCATTTGTGTAAAACTTAATTTATGCGGCACAGACATGTAATTGTTCAGCCTCCATAGAGATGCATAAACTCATATGGCTAAATCTTAAAGACTAGGTAAAATGTGTACAAATTACCTGTAGTTCAGCTAACCTGTATTTACCACATGGATTTAAATGAAGTATTTGCTATCTAAACAATCAGTCACATAAAGACTTCTTTAACTGTGGCTTTTTCATTCATAATTCATTGAATCCTTCCAAATGGTACAGAATCCTAATACATGTAGCAATTATTGTCAGAAAGCTGTAAGGAAAAGTGAATTCTAAACCATTATAGTTACGTACTTGTAACTCCCCCTTTATGGGCACGCTTGGGGAAATGTGACATGCTTTCTACTGGATTAAGAAGTTTTAAGCGCTTGGTTTTGCTGACTAGTAGAGTATTTCTTGTTCAGATATAAAATTAGTCAGGTCCTCATGAAAGATAAGGAATAAAAAACAATGATGTAGTTTATCCTCTTGTCCAGTACCTGTTAACACAAATGATTTAAAACATTAAATCTTTCTTTGTTACAAAGAACTTATTTATAAGTTAATATAAGAATATGTTTAAATGACATTTTATTAGCCTTTTTGAATAATTGCTCTTGCTTATTGCCCATTAGACCGATTTGCTCCATTTTAAAAATTAACAAAGGCTTGAAATGTATAAATTACTTTTCAAAAGAAAATGAAATATGGTATTTGCATATCTTTTGCATGTATGGCTACAAAAATGGCAATTTTTTCTTTATGTTCTTACAGTAAACTCTTGAAGATCGCAGCCAAAGTTCCACTCCCTTTGTCTGTTGCAATGTTGGCCTTTGGACGAATGCATTTATACAAAGTACCACACTTTGTAACCTTTTCTCTTCTTCTACACGTGCTGTGTTGTATTGTGTAACGTTCGTTATACATAGGAAGAACACTGCGGCCTAGAAACTTAACGCTGGAGATGAGGAAAATTTCAACAAGTAAATGCCTAGATTAATATCATCAGTAGTTTACATTATGTGGAAAAGAGGACAGAACTGTGAATGCTTTAGGAAAAGTTCGTGGTTCTGTTCGTGTTGCTTAGAAAGCTTTTCATGGTGTTTATTTCCTGACTGAAAATTAAGTGAATTAACTCTGTGTGTGTGTAAGCACATAAATCATATCCTATCAGTGTAACATCTCAATACTCTGTCTGCCTTGTAGACACTTTGATATTTCACTATACTTCTTTGTTGAAACACTTTTTTTTTTTACTCACTATGCCATACAGTGCGTATATTCTGAACTTGCATCTCTTGCAGGTCTAAATTATGCTGGTTAAAACTCAATACATTTCAAGCACACTGTGACTATCACAAAAACTACACAGCCAAGTATACTTTTAATCATTTTATGCTACATTTAAAAGCTGCCACAGCTGTGTCTAGACAAACTAGAATGTACTGCTTATATAGAACTGTTATTTCTATCAAACCATTTGTTCAATCAGTGCGAGTTGAACATTTGTGAGATTACTGAAAGTCTTATACATTTTACTTTTTGTGAGAGTGACAAAACAATATTCTGTGTAGCTTTCTATTCAGGAAGGATACCAGCAGATTCATAAACAATTTGCTCTGATGTTGTTTTAAAACATTGCCAGTTTTCTCTGGAATTTTGTCAATTCTGAAATTATTCCTTGGCCTTTGCCCATATGTAGAAGCTAGCAGATGTTGAGGTATGGTGTGATTTTTACAGTGCAGTTATTGTACTGCACTGTTTCCAAGTAGACAAGGCAGGTTTTTTCCTATTGTAAACGGAGAATCAACTGTCTCATAATAAATGTCCATACATGAAATTAATATGGAATAGTTACAACTGTGTAAATTCATGCCCTGCCATACAGTGCTAACTTCATCATGTGGACAAACTCTTAGTAATAGTGGGAAATACTGACCATAATTATTAGATCTGTATAAAGTATTATCTTAGTGCCTAGATGCTACAGTGACTGCCATTTATAATAAAGCCTAAAACAGCTATGCGTAAGGCATTCTGTCCCCGGGTACGTGTTCTGCCAACAGAAGAAATCTCAGTAGCCATTAGGTTAGAATGATGCACTGATTCTGTGTAGAGATGAGCCCGCTACTTACTTATGCGTTAGCTGTCTCCGCTCTGTCCGAGATACTGGTTATCTCCATACAGAGATACGAGACCAGCTCAATCATCTTAGACAAATAAGAGGAAATCTGCTGCCCACAGTCAATCAAGTATATTCTCGATATAGTAGTACAGCCAGCTTGATCCATTAATTTTATCCTATCTCATTAGTCTTGCCTAAAGTGCCTCAGTTAGTTCTAGTGTGTTAGGGTCAATTCATTTGGGCTGGCTGAAAGGATTCAATTCACACAGTGACTTACCGAAATGAAAGACAAATATGAAGTAAGCATGCATTTTGTCTGCTTATATCCAAGTCAGCAGTTCAAGTTATGAGTAAGTCATTAAAACTGCTTTAATTAAAACTATTACAGTTAACCAAATCACTGTCGCTGTTATCCGTAATCTATGTGCTGGTATTCTATTCTTAATCTTTTCTGAAAAAGGTTAATTATACATAGTGTCTGTAAATTGGAAAAATTATTTTAATATATTGATACTTTCTAATCAAATGTATGCTACAGTATATGTATTTAAGAGAATCTGTGTGTCTAAATATACTTGTAGCTAAACCCACCAGTTGGTTTAACCTAAAAATTGCTGTTTGGACGTAGAAGAATAGAGTAGTTTTTCTACTTTCAAATGGCTGTGAATGAAAGATGGTGGCAGAACTGCATTGGGGCTGGTAAAAGGCCATCTGTGAAATGTGAAGTATCTGATTTCTGTGGAAGATAGTTTTCCTTGGCCTTCATGGTCTACTGTGTTTTAATTCTCATATTATTTTGCCATCTTAATGGGTTCTTTATGCATAAATCCATTTGTCGGAGCTGATGGTGGAATAAAATAATAATCAGAATAAGGAGAGCAAACAGTCTCTGCACGTAGTAGCTTTGATAGCTTCCAAAATCTGCCACAATGTGAAACTTACTGAATTACAGTAGCATAGAATAACACAATTTTTTTTTCATTTAATGATATTTTTAAAGCTGGGAATTATATTGGTAGCTGTTATCGCTCATTTTCATGTTGGAGGTAGGAATAGATACAATCCTGAGTGAGATCCCAGATGACAGAATTTGTCACATCTCCCTCAATGCTCCCTTTCTTTTCAGAGATGGTTTACCTTCACTAGTGGAAAAGGAGTGGAAGTCTTACTGCTGCTTTGGGTTTATATACATTCTGTGTCATTTGCTAGATGAAAACTGTTCTCAGAAATGTGCATCTGGATTTTGCAGCGATTGTGGACTGTAATTTCAGCTGTTTGAGAGATTAGGTGTCTAATCCCAACTAGATTTTCTATATAGTCACTGGAGGGGGATAGGATTAGAACAAGTTCAGAGAACAATTCACCCCATTCTAAGAGAAGATGAATTATCCTACTTGCCATTCTGAAAAGGACAAGATTTTATAGCAGTCTAAAGCTGTTTTTGAGGTAAAATACAATGAATGTTGTTACTTTTGGAGAAGAGGCCTCTGTTATGCAAATCTCTTGTTCTGCCACTGTTTACAATTGTAATCTCGGCGGAAATGTAGGCTAACCCAATATAAATACTTCTAATTGTGTGTATGAGGAAGTGTAAATATTATGGAAATATCCTTTGTTATGAGTAGGCTGCACTTATAAAACAAATATATTGTAATGTCTCTTAGTACCTTTAACTAAATTAAAATTCCAGTTTATTCTTCAAATTTTAGATTATTTAGACTGTGTGGGAGAAGATCAAGACACAATTTGTAATGGATTAGAACTCTGCTCTATAAGGAAAGATTTCTATTAACATGCAGACCCAAACTCTGTTGCTCTCCGTTTTCAGAAGTTGAGGTACTAATTTTGCAAAACCACTGTTCTTCATCTATGTGGATGTTAACCACATTTAGATAGAGATTATGGCACATAATCTAGCATTTAGGTTGAGATTAAGCCACCATTTTTTGGCTTGTACCTCAGGATACATTCAAAATAAGAACTATTTGTGTGGCTCTTTTCTAGTTCTTTTTTAATAACCTATCAGAAATGGAATATAAAAACAGGGTAAGAACCTAGAGTACCAAATGTCACTAATTTTATGTACAGCATATATGTACAGCAGAATCTTTCTCTGGCAGGGGGAGATTTACTGAGCAGCTTTTAGTGTCATCTCCATACCCTGAATTGCTCTTGAAGTCTATAAGCTTTTCTGATTGATGTGATCAAACATAGTCTTATCACACTGCAATCAAAATAGCTACACCTGTACCTAACAGTTACAAAAGGTCTATATTTGTCTGGTAAGGAAAAACTGTGCCCTCTTAACTGTAGTTACCATATTTACCGTGAAACTGAATGTTTGAATGTTGTCCAAAGGTGGTATTTTCAGTTTTGAATTAAAAGTTGGTTGCAATATGTCATGTTTCAACATCCTGTTAAAAGGGGGATTGTTGTTCTGGTTGGTGTTTCGTTTTGTTTCAAAAAAACCCACAAAACCACCAGTAACTGGATTTTAAGTTAATATTATTTCAAATACTTCGAGTTCTGATCTGATTTTTGGTTTTGAGTGGGCTGATACATGTAGCAATTCATTCCAAAATACTAATTTGCTAAGTTTTAAAACAAACAAACGAATAACAAAACAAAACCCTAAATAACGTAGTAGTAATATAGTGCAGAAGACATAGAGACTGCCTGTATGTCTAAGTGAACTTTTCAACTATAACCTAATTGGGCTATCTTTATGTCAGTGTTTAAAAAAAAAAATAAAATAAATAAATTGATACTTAAAAATCCCAAAAAGCATCATTGCTTACATAGGTATTTTATACAGTCTTAATTTTCCATGTGTTTGCCAGTAACAAGGTTATGAACTTGTTACTTGATTATTATTTTTTTCCAAAATCTGATGCATCTGCTTCTAAGCTTCGACAGGACAGAATAAAGTTGATTATGTGCCTGTGAATAAATGTAAACATTTGAGAAGCTTTCATTTGATCAAATTTATTTCAGTACAGTGATGAGCTTGTTTAGATTTTTGTCTGGCTTATACTGAGGAAAAAACCCAGCCATTTACAGACCTTCAATACTCTGAGTTACTGAAAAATTTTTTGGAAGTGGTTACAGTGTCTGTATGATAATTGTGCTGTTGTTTTAAGTCACTAAGCTGCTAGAAAATTGTTAGTTGTAAACCAGACTGAACTTGTAATGCTTATTTTCCATTTCATGATGAATGTTAGTCACAATTTACAGCTTTGACTTTTTACATCTCTCTTTTCTGGGAGATAATCAAGCTAGCTTTCTTCAGCATTTAGCACTGGTTTTAAAATTTTGACCACCGTTCCTTTAGGGGAGACCTACTTTTGTCACCAAAGCTACATGCTGCTCTTGTGTACATCTGGAAATGTGTGCCAATGCCTGACAATTGAAACCAGATTCATTTTTATGTTAAAGTAAAATAGTTTTTCTATCTTTTTTTAGATCCAGAACTTTAAGCTGGTATTCATAATAGAATCCTTAAAATCTCTAGAAGTTTACTTGAAAACCTTTTGCAAAGATTATTTTTTCGCATGTATATTATTCATGGAAGAATGTATTCAAAGCTTTTAATCAGCTCATTTATCTTAAAGCTTAAATAAAATCTATAAATTTCATCTTGTTAGTAAACATTACTGCTTTTAAAAATACATTTAAGGAGAAAATTCTATAGCTCTTAGTTAAGGAAATCTGCCCAGCACCTCAATTTTTCAGGTATCTAAGCACGTAACTGCCTCAAATATGTGCTTATTGCCTTGTAACTTGAAGTCAAAACTGCGATGTTTTGACTTTAATTTCACTTAAGATTTAGGCCTCATTCTGCATTCTTAAATGCAAACAGACTTTGCTACTCATGCTGTCATAAACAAATCTTGTAAGCATGGCCTCTACAGTCATTGGCAGGTTGTGGCCTAGATTGTGTAGGAATCTGTGTGGTATCAATCAGCGCTAATCTTGTGTCAATAAAGGTCAGGAATGGCACAAACAAATTTTTTGTTTTGCGGCACATCATTCCAGTTCCTCCTTCCATACACAGTTGTCCTTGGTTTGCAGTATCCTTCCACTGTAGTACAAACATGATGTTCACAGTAAAAGCAGGCTCTGTGACTCACCTAGTGAAGATAGGCAGCAACTGTCCCATAGACTGTTCTTCTACTGCAGTTTTGCATGTTTGTTGAAATACCAGCAAAGACTTTTTCTCCCTCCAACTTAAATAATTTCAGGGTACATAAATTAACTATAACATGTGCAAGTGTGTTCAATGTTTAGTTTTATAAAATGCTAAGTGCACTATTTGGGGATCAATTCGGGCTTCAGTATTTTCCACTTACGTCACTTCGAGTGTGAAAACAGTATTTGAGACTGCAGCATCTGACAACTGAAATATTTTACAGAAGTCTACAAGTAGTAGACGTGACATACTTAATTAGAGTGCCAGACCAAAATTGAAATGTGAAATTCCTCACTGTGAGTTTAAACTTGTAGCTTTCTAGAGCAAAAAAAAAATACTGTGCCTTAAACCAGTAAATGAATATACTCTAACTGTAGCCTGTGGACTTCTGTAGCCTTATATTTGATTTTTGAAATTCACCAAAAGTATTTGTGTGGGTCATACTGAAACTTGATTTCGGGGAAACTACTTTTAAAAAATATTTTGATCCCTTTTTACTACGCTTACAGAAATGAAGATTTATGACAAGTACAGTATATTTGTGGTTTGAAATCACACCAACCAAAGTCAGAAAGCTTTAGCTAATCTTAATTTCTCAAGTCTTTCTATTGTGTCAAAAAGAAAAATTATGAAGGAAAACTAGTCTCAGATATCTGTCTCAACTTTGAAGTCTGTCTGTCAAATTATTTTGAAAAATTTTGTTCTTTAGTTTCTTCAAAATAAAAAAAATCCTCTCGTTGTAGTTTAAGCAGAATACTGTATTTAAGCCACTGAGTATCAATATATAAGCCAGTGTGAGAAGAAAACTAGAATGAGGTGGGGTTGGTGTGTTGTTTGAAGGCTCCAGAAGTCTTGAATAATAAATTTCACTTTTTAGGAAAAAATATTCATATATAGAATGCTGAAAGGGGTTTTTTTGGGAAAAAGTTTATACATTCTGTTCTTCTCAATTCATTAAAGAAAACCATAAATAGTCAAGATGTTAAAATCTTGTTTTGATATAACAGAATGATTTCTTGTGCATTTTTTCTAATATGAAGAGCTCAGGAAAAGCCACTGCTGGCTTTCCTTATGTGTCTCTGCAGGTTCTTTGTACATTTTGAACAAAACCCCACAAATTCTGACCTTTTTTTCCCCCCTCAGTATTAGTACTGTGTAGCACTGAATCTTGAATAAAGATGCCACTCAAAGCTTATCATTGGGCTGTAGATACTTAGATATGCACACAGAATGACTGTGTGTCAGCTGATCACAGTAGCTGTTGGAAGCAATACAAATCAAAGTTATTAACCTTCTTTTATCGAGAACTAACTTGAACCTGGCAGCCGCAATGCTGCTGTGGCACAACAAAAAACATGCAATTTTTGTGTCTTGCCTGCTACTTCCTTCTGTGGGTTAGTTTAGGACTTTTAAAACTCTTGTTCCAGTCACCTAACTTTCTCTTCTTTCTTTTGTCATGATGGTGTTTCAGTAATCCTGGCCATTGTTGATTTCCTAGCCACAGGAATAGTCTAGTATTAAAATCATTGAGAGGGCAGAACTACCTTTAAGGCCTTTATATATGATGATTAGTCTAGAAAAAAATGTGTAACCTAGGCCTAGTAACTTGATTCCCTACTTAGCTTTTAATTGTTTTTCCAAGCCCAAAGACAGAATAATGTTGGCCAAAATACCTGTTTGGGGTAACTGGGGGAGAGGGAGAGGACTGTTGTTTGGTCAGTTTTAAGAGGACTTAAAACTTTGAAGAACAAGTATGTAAGTTTTGGAAAAATCTATTGCTTCACAAGCAACCCGTCCTACGTGTTTTTAACTCTTCCTCTGTTTTCAGTTCTTATATAGCTAATGTAAATCTGGTGGTGTAGGTGGAGCTACCTCTTAAGCTACAGGTTTCTAGAGATGTTGACAGGGTCTTATCTGTAAATGTTTGAATAACATAATAAATTACTGTGCTTATTAAAATGCTTATAACTGATTTCTCAGATACAGATCATGCAACGCATGATAAGCTTTGGCAAAGTCCTTGTCTTGTGAGATGCTGAGAAAACCTTGTAGAATAGGTATCTTAAGCTAATGTTTAAATTGCTGACAGCTTGAAATCTCAGAACCTTTAAAAACTGTGCTTTTAGATAATGGTACTTTTTTTTGAAGTTGAGGGCAACTTGAGTGGGAGCTACTCTAAGATTTTCATATTTTGTTTGATGGTTTCCCTGTCTGCAGTATATATTTCACTTTTTTTGTCTTTTTTGTCTTTCTTTTTTACCTAAGTGGGCATGACTTAGAGTACACTGTATAGCATATGCTCTGCTAAATAAACACTTCTGGATATTTTTGTATGGTGTTCTAACATGGTTGCATTAGTACAAATGGTTGTAATTCACAAAAAGTGCCACTTACCAGTCATACTCTGTAGAGTGTTGTGAATGTTACCTGTACTTCTGTTGTACAAACACGCTGAAGAGTGTCGTTTGCCTTTAGTCTTTGCTCAGGTACTCATGTGGAGCGGTTTGGTGCTTTTCCTTCTGACTTGTAATACTTGGGATTCTAAGCAGGAAATAAAAACAGTGAACAAAAGCATTGTGTTAGAACAGTACTTTAAGTAACACACTTTTTTCACATCTCAAGTAGAATACAATAAAGATCATACTTGATGAAGCTCGTCTCAGTATCTTAACTCGTGCACCTTAGGCTGTTATACCTGCCTTGCTATCATGAATGGGAAATGCAATAAAATGGAAGAAGTTTGGTGAATAATGTAGTTTATATAGAATACTGTATGTATAAAATTTATTCTTAGCTAAACTAACTCATTTTAAATCTGCCTTTTGTTCTAGAACAAGATTTTTACCTTTTTGAAGTAACTTGCATGAAGCTGAACAAGCAATGCTATGTGCATTTTCAGCTCCAGTGCCTTTTAATTCAAACATACATGAATATTACTTACTGTGCCATAAGGGCTATGTAATTAGTACAGCCACTTTGAAAAGTTCTGATTTACTGAAGATGTGTGTCTATAGACATAATTTGTCAAGAAAACCTAGTGCTTAAATTTGGTGGCATTAAAAAGGCAGCACACTGACACCTGGCTTGGAAAGCATTTGTTAGACTATACTGTTCTCAAAGGAGGATGCTATTTTGTCCAATCAGTGTAACTATAATAATAGCATTTTAATATGAATGTGTTCCACTTATATTTTACTTTCACTGAGGGGAAGAGCTATAATGAAATTGTCTTAAAAAAAAAAAAAACCACCAAAAAACCAAATTAAAACGAGCACTAAGTCTAAACAGACTTTTAGCTCAGGAAGCACCAATACAAGTTTGTAGTTTTGGGGTTTTTTTAAAGACAGCTCACAGAAAATACATGCTAATTGAATCTCTTGCATATCTGCATACTTCAACCAAACTGCCTAAATGCCTACAGTAATAAAACTTGTTTCAAATTTACAGATGACCTTGGTATGTTTTACTAGCTGAATATACTGCTTAACCCCCATTTTTTTTTTTCCTTTCTAAATAGATGAAATGAATGAAAGAGTTGGGGGGCGTGGGGTGGGGAAAGGATGGAAGAAAACTGCCTGCTGTTCTGGCTTTTTTTTTTTTTTTTTTTTTTTTTAAAAAAGCTTAATAACTAAATCTAGATCTAAAATCTAATCTCAAACTGTAAATCAAGCCTTTTCCACTTCCTGTCACTTTCTTTAGAGGAACATGTTCCTACTGCTGGTTGATTTAGAAGGTAAAATATGCACAAAATTAAATGAGAAATAACTATCTGCCTAGAAAATCAACAACAAAAGTTCCCTTACATTGGGGCCTGGCTTTTTAGAAGTTCTTCTGTTGCTACTGCTGTTCTGGTTCTTGAGGAGTCTACTACCTGGAAGTTGTCTGTTAGGAAAAGTAATTGGTGGGGTTTGATAGATTTTCTTTATGTGTGCATTTTTTTTTTCATTTCAAGTCTGTAGAAAAATATACAAGCTAAATAAGCTGACTTGTATTTTTATATGTTACTACAGTCAGGAAAATAACACTGCTAGGATTTTTTTTAATGTATTGCTAATGTCGTTTGGACAACCGCAACTTTGCCTGCCTGGAAGGGTGGTGTTAGGTTTTTGGTTTGCCTGCAAAATTTAAACCAAAGAAAGATGTAAAGTTTCTGGTCAGAAATAAACATCTATAATCTGGAGTAAGATAATGGCCAAAAATCTTTAGTTTTAACGTGTCTTTTTAGAGACTTATTTTATCTGATACTAACTAAAGTAGCATGTAAATAGCGGAGAGAAGAGTATAATGAAATTATAAACAAAAAATTTGAGCAGCTTTCAGTTGGCCGAGGTCAATTAGCACAGCCTTCCTTGCAGTCTTTGTCTTAGTTTCTAGTCTGACAGGAGGATATTGACTGCCGATAAAATCAGGGTAGGAAAGCAACACTTCCATTAAATGTTATGATTTTGGATCTCGAAACAGACCTTACTTTTCTCTCTCTCTCTAGCACCAAGAAAATGATCCCTATCTCATCTTGCTTGAAAACCATTCAACCAGCTAATTACTTTTAATTAAAAGTAATGTTTTGATACAGCTCCGCTATCTCTGCTGGGAATTGTTTTAAATTTATTAGATGCTTACCACCAATTTTCTGCAATACGGCTTAGGGAGGAGGAATTTGCACTGCGCAGTTTGATAGCAACAGGTCTTAAGAGTATTAAGGATGAAATTCTCAAGGGTCTTTATGTCATGGATGGAAATGGAATCATTACTGTATTTTTGAACTCCTGCTAACGTCATTGACACCCACCTACAGTCCACTAGAAATATAAGTGCAGAGATCAGTTTGTTCACAGATTACAAGGAGACTAACCAAGAAGGGGCAAGCCAGAGCCAAATTCACTGGTAAGCTTTATTTTAAAGAACATGAAAGGGAGAATTATTTATTCTTTCTTTTTTTTTTTTTCTTCCCTTGAATCAAGTTGTGAAACGGGTCTCTAGTATATTATGCCAGGCTGTTATTAATATATGTAGTACGCTTTCATTTCATGCAATTTTAAAAATTGAGCTATCTGGGTCTTGAGCCAGTTTTTTGCATTCTCCTTGGAGCACACAAAGATCTGATGCTGTAACTAATCAGCCAATGAAAACGGCTGTATAGAATAACATGTAAATTTACAAAGGTAAATATTTTGTGTTCAATGTTATGCCAGTCCCTCTCGAAAAGAGAACCCAGTGTTTAGAAATAACTTTGGTATGGGAAACACTTCTTTAGAATAATTTATTCTTCCTAGTGCATTAGTACTAGGAAAACAACACAAAAACATTGATAGCACATGGATATAATCTGCAGTAGGCAGATTTGCCTTGCTGTGGATAAATTATTTCCAGCACTCCACTGGATTGTCGTGCTTGCTCTATTTGTTACCAGCGACAGCTCTGTGGTAGGACTTACAGAGTCTGGTTCGTTGTCCTTCTTACAGGTAGTCTGTTCATCTCGTCAGCATGTGGAAAGTGGTGCTCCTGGGTCTGTATACGGTATTGGCTGTGAGAGGATTGGCAAAGGGTGCTCCTTTCCAACCAGAAGAAAAATGGAAGCCTCTAGATAACCCTAGAAACAGAGACCTGGTAAGGAAATGCTGCAAGAAAGGTAGCCGAAGTTTGGGGGTGGGGGTGGGGGGTTGTTTTCCATCGTGAGAATTTTTATCTTCTAAATTTAAAGGTGAGAGGGGCCCATTAAATGTAGTGGTAATTCGTGTAGTCAGTAACCACAACTGGATGAGCAATCTTCAGTCAAGATGTACCCCTTAACTGAAGAGACATTCTCGGTGTGCAGTAGTGCATAAAACTTCCTTATCTCTCCATCCAGCAGCTCCGGTTTTTAAAACTGTATTTTGATTATACAACCACTTGTTTTATGAAACAGAAGAGGAATGATTATTATGTTTCTCTCAAATGTGTGCTCTGTTGATTGCATGTTGTTTCGCCTTCTGGAAGTACAAACAAGTTTGCATCTGACACGTCATGAATAGTGGCTAAAGATCTGAAAGTTAATTACAGCTAAGAAAATATCATTAAGAGAATATTTGCAAGGTCTTATAAGGAATCTGTGAAGGAAAAAAAATCAGTTTCCCACAATTTTTCCTCACTGTTTTAAGAAGCATTAATTAATTTTTACTTTTAAGCAATCTAAGGGGCCAGTTCAAATCAATTGCCCACTGTTGCTAACTCTTAGAGAACACTTCTCTGAGGGAAACATGTAACAGAACTGTACTGTTTGCTCTTAGCAAGGGTTTTGCTGTGCCTGTTTTATAAGAGAGACAGCCTGAATCCTCTGTGGTTCAGTGGGGAGCATAGATCATCAGTAAACAGCTAGTGGTCTTTTAACCCCACGTAAGGTGTACAAGCCATGGACAGAGTGGATATGTCTGAATTATACTGCCTATATTGTACCAGTTTATGATCAAAATAGAGGATTTCATCCCACACAGAAACATAGATTACATCTACTTTGTATCAGTAGAAACAATTAATCTCCGTCAGGCGTGCTCTATTTTCACGTATGCAATGTGTTCAGTTTTTCAGAACGCTCCAGGCTTATTTTTCGGGCAGGGGTCTTGATCTCAGAAAGTTCCCGGCTACTTTCACTATGAACAATGAAGGACCGAGGCCTGTCATATTCTACTCAGACCCTATCGCTTCTGCATTTGCAGATTACGAAGAAAGGAAAAATTCTTTTCCAAGTTATTTCAAAGGCTGAAAGATGTTGCTGACCAAGGTAAAAGAGGATGCCTTTCCCTCTAATGTTGTAACATGTAACCAAGTGAAAGATTTGGATTCAAGTGATTCTCGCTTCTGTCTGAAGTACAAAACCAACTTCTTTTTTAGAAGAAATTAAAAATGCAGTGCTTAACTCTTGCCTGAAGTTGGTTTAAAATTCTAGAGGTGGAGATTAATTTAGGTATTTACTACTTCGGTAAAACAACACATGGTGCTTGTGGAAACCTACGTAGACTGCTTTTTTTTTCTTTTATTTTTCCCTCCTTTTTCATGTGGAGAAGAATTCTGAAACCGTACAGATAATAGAGAATGCAGGTTTTATTTAAGTATAATTGCTATCAGTAAAATTATCAATAGAGACTAATGGTTTCCTGTGATCTATGTATATTAAGAAAATGAATTTAGACATAAGATATTGTGCTAGCAAAGCATACGTTATCGTTTACATCTTTGTCCATTCGTGCTGTTTTCCTTATTTCTACCACTAAAATTGAAGGTTGATAAAAGGATTGCAAACTTATTCACATCTCTCCATAAATATGAAATGAAACTGAAGTGCATCAAGCTTTCATTATTAATAAGCCCAGGCTCAACTTGTAGCAGGTACTTCTCAGCTATTTTATCTATGTATAACCATATTCTGTAACAAATCCTGTTATATCTCATTTTTGAGAGTCAGTGAATACTGGCAATTCTGAGGAAAGGTGAAAAATTTTTTCCTCCTGTTTTACAAATAGTTGAAGATTTCAGTGGGATTTGAATCTATGCATGTTGGTGTTGGTTTCAGATACTCAGTATCTGAAAAAGATTAATTCGTAATCAATATTTGGCCTAGGATTTCTAGCTCTTTCTTGCTCTCTGCCTGCTTAACCACATCTTTGTAACCAAAAGCACAGCTCTGCTATTATTATCACGAGGTGCATGACAAACAAACAAAAAGAGACTTTGGAAGGGATGGTGTAGCTCTACTGTAAGTTACAGCAGCCGTGAGAAAATGACTGGCGGAAGTGATCTGTCCTGCGTAATTCGGAGTGATGCACAGTAGTTCTTTTCAGCATTCAGAACTGTTTTCTGGAAGTAGAGGTCTGCTGCGCTCAATTGGGGTAGTTCAGGCAGTATTACCAGGTCTTGGTTTGGATCATATCCTGGTTGCAGATAAGTATTTCTCTGTTTGTGTCTCATCCTTTTTTTTTTTTTTTTCTTCTCTTTTTCAGGCATTAACTTTTGAACTTCATGTGAAGTGGTAACCCTCACAGCAAAATACTACTGCTTTGACTTTTTAACCGCTACCTGACAACTTTAATTTTTCCTCACTATCGCAGTTTTTACCTATGGAATCTGATGCCCTGCTGTGATTAGCACACTTGCTGTCTGTTGCCAAATGTCTGACGCTTGGCTGCTGCACTTTACCCAGCAGAATTGTCTTGGTTTAGATGTGAATAAATGGGTGCAACAGCGTACTTCTAACCACTGCTCACTGTCTGTGTTCAAAATTGGTAAATAAACGTTACCTTTCAGTTTATTAAAACTAGACGTCATTAGGTGTTTTGCAGCAATTCTTCAGCGAGTTTATTGGGGTTTTTTTCTTCCCAGAAGTCTTCTCGTTTCTTGGGAGGCTGAAGGGAAGGGGGGCCCATGGCTGCTGGCGTCTCACCCCCGGCCCCTCGCCCCCATTTCTGCCCGTGGCCCAGGCAGTACGTCACCTGCACGATAACCGCACGCGTATCAGGGTTAGGAAACCCTGCTCCTGTAAAAATAACCCCCCTTGCTGGGGAAATAAAGGACAGCCTAACACCCACCGTGAGGTGGGGCGCGGAGGAGCCTTCCTCACGCCTTGTGCCCTTACACCCCTGGCACAGCACCAGCGCCT